AGTATTCCTTGCATAGACAATACACTGTACTGACAAGTGAATATTCTTTGCATAGACAATACAATGTACTGTTCACAAATTGCTATGAATGCTTTGACTAGTGTATCGTATTTATTCCATATCATTTAACTATATGTGCTCAATAACAAAAGTTCCTCCTTTTCGCAAATGCATCTATGAAGCATTTTCTAGTTTGCACTTGCTCGTGGTCAAATAGACATTACCCATACTCTTGACACATTCTCAGGCATGTAGTTTTTCAAACCAAAGAATTATTCATTTTGATTTGAAACGTGTATTTGATTATTACAAGACTTGATGTAATATTCAAACAGACAGCTATTCAAATTGTGATTTGATGAGATTAAGTGTGTCTGTCTTTTATAGCTGTAATATAAAATTGAAAACATGTGCTTAAAACATTGGCAGCAGAAGAATGATTGAACTGCTGACTAGTCACTCAATTTTACTGTGCAATATTTGGCTTTTTGTTAGCTTGACTTTAATACTGATCCATATTAACTGTTTGTTAATGTAAACTTGTAAATAAAATACTTCTTTACAAACTATGGTAATTCGATTGTTTGTCTTTATGATGAAATATCTGGCCGTTAATAATCCTTTTCAACACTGTTTGAATGCAGGGGGAGGGTGGGAGAGGGGGAGATTGTATACAACAATACATTTTCTATGTCGTGCATCCTTCATCAAATGTACTGTTACTAGTAAACAAGTCAAATATCACCGGTTGCCAGTAGTAGGTGTTGTGCTAAACAATGATCAGTTGTTTCAAAGTTCAAACACTGAAAATTCATCCATTCGTAAATCGCCTTACAGACATGTTCAAAAGTGTTAAAACACGTTGAGGTGTCCTTATTATTTGGAAGATGTTCATCACATTCAAACACTTTCGTGTGCTTGCATCCAACCTAGAAGTGCAGCACAAAATGTTTTTTGGTTGCCGTATCAAGCTATTATCTTTCATTAAATTATTACAAACAGGGAAATGAGTTCTAATAACATCACAAGAATACACCCAGGCAGTACTAGAACACATCAATGTGTACTTGTGGTATTGTAAAAACAGGAGATTTTGATATGTTCACTGACTAGGAAATATTGGTTTAAGTCAACATGTTTAACGGGGTCTAGTTAAGTACTGTAAAACAATTGATTTTCACTGGCATTTGATTTCACTATTTTAATGTTTTGAGCAGTTTGAATGAATTTTAACTTCACATATCTGGCAGGGAAACAAAAAAGTTCACATGTTTTTAATTAGCGAAATATTGACTGATACTATCCAAGGAATAATGATCCTCCCAGATCAATCTCAAATTAAATGACATATCCTCGGGGAGGGAGCTACGTCACAGACGTTCTACGTTGCTAAGACGCGCACCACTGTACCATGCATTTCTATGGGCTCTGTGCGCGCTGCTGTGGAACGCCAGTCGAGCCGGTGAAAATTTGAGAAAACAATACAAACTCAACTTTGAAGTAATCCCGAACAATCAAATTTATATATGTTACACACGTAGGGCTAATCTTGTTGCACTGTTCAGAGGAGTCTCAACAATCACCCCAAAGTACCGTTTTCTGCGAGTTTTGGGCCTTTGTTTTCACCGCCGCGGGTTGCCAGGCGGTGAAAATGCCCGGATGTCCGCCCCCGAAGATTGGTTAATGTTAATCCTGTCAACTGACTTGATTTTTGAAAAGCGCCCCCTATAGTTGAGTTTTGTTCTTCCCTGGGGAGTGGAAGAATTTGCTAGTATATTTTAATTTTGTCCAAAATATAACAAGTTTAACAATTATATCTTCGTATAACATAACTGATTATCAAAGTATTTTTATTTTTTAATTCGTCACAAAACAAGTAGTGTCTCATCAAACAGTATGAAGTGAAATCTGTTAAAATTTATGTTAATTTCTGGAGAAAAAAATCATGGTTGCCATACACTGTTGGGTAGATATTTGGTTGCAATAACAAAAATAATAAGCTGTGCAACAGTGTTGTCTGTCCTTGCATCTCTTAGAAAACACTGAAATATTGTGTTAACCAAAACTGTTAACAGTTGGTAAAAGTTCACCCCTCCAATCAATCAATTTTCATATCTTGTCTTTGTACCAGTTTTAAACAAAATTGGTTTAGACATGTCCGAGACATGACAGTCTCAATGCAAGCTCAAAACTATGCAACTGACAAATATGATATTCTATTTTTGGCTGTAATATAAATGTATTTTGATAATGCCCAGTTAGCTAGCAAGGTCTTCCCAGCTGCGGAATTAGAATAGACAGCATGTATTGTCATTGGTAATTAATATTCTTTTGTTTGTGCTTGCGCAAGCCGAACGAGAATATGAGTGAATCAGTTGTCACACAGCTCCAAGGCAGTGCAGCTTCGGTGCAGTGTCAATGTGGCAACCAAACTTAGGTCTCAACTGCCTGTCCAATTCGGCATGTGGGAATGATACCAGTAGATGCAAGACAGCATGCTGAGGTTCTACGCTATAAATCTTGGTCCTTTCTCTGCACGAGCGGTATGGAAGTCGTGTAACATTGCGGTCAGCATTTTGTAGTTTGCATCCCTGGAGACCTTGTAGTTTGGAGCTGTAGAACTGATATAGTCGTGGACGTTGCTGTGAATGACTGTACCATTGCTGAAACTACACAATAAGAGTTCTGCACCTAGGTAGGGTAAGCAATTCCAAGCTGGGCTGTTAATATTGTGATGTATATTGCTGACCGGTTTGTGATTTATATTACTCCCATTACTGGTTTATGCTTATTGTATTATTAAATTAGTATTATTTGACATATTCTGGTTGTGTGTCTTTGTTTGACCTTTAGTGTTTTGTCTTGGAGTGTGGAATATTGGCGGCCAGGTTCGTGGGAGACTATCTCATATCCCCGTTCGTAAGAAATAAAAACATAGATGTCACAAAACTGTTTTATTCTGAACAAAATCAGCAAAATGAAACACTATTCACATCAGCATAAAAAGCAATAGTACATGGAGAATATTTTACATCATCCTCATGAATGCAGAGATTTCACTTGACACTAGATAGAAGGGGGGGGGGGGATTAGAAAAAAAAATAAGCCAGTACACAAGTTGTGAAAATTTGTACATACAATCTAGAACTTATGAACACTTTTTTATATCGAGAAAGTTGTAAAAAAAAGGTTACAGGCAGCGCATGGATTACTGATTGTGAAAAGTATTGTTTGGTGCAGCATAGTATAAACAATCTTTACCCCATTGACTGCCGTAATTTGAATGTAAATTTTTATATATTTTTCAAGAATTGATTTCTGAGAACAAGGACATAATTTCCATTTGTCTACAGGTCTTGATAACATTTTCTAAGAAATATGGAAAAATTTCAAAGGTGGAAAATGACATTGCAATAGCTTACTGCAACAACAGTTTTTTTACGGAACCCAATATTTTGCAATAAAGACTATTGTAATAATAAATAATAAAAGTCTTTATTGTTCTTGTTCTACCAAACCATTATACAAGGAAGCAATTATAAAGTGATAAAAATTCAAATTCCTTATCAATGCCTCTTGCCTCCTGGGATTGTTTAAAGAAATACAACTTACACTTTAATAAGTTATAAAAAAAAACCAGAAAAGATTACAAAAAACAACAACACATTTACAATAAAAGCACAAGAGTTCAATAATTTGAATTCGGCCTCATAACGCTAGGGGAAGTGCGGCCTCATATCAGGGCAATAATTTTCCGTAATAATTACACCCGGCCTAGCTCGCCCAGCTTTCATCAATCCAAACAAAATGAGTCATTCTAAATTATGTCGTGTGTTTGAGGTCACACTGATAAATTGTAATTACACCTATAAGGTGTATGATAAAACCTTTATGGACTGGATACGGCTTTTGCTGCCCTCGGTCATACGGCTTACACGAGCTCGGGCATTCTCACTGCACAACCTCAGGTCGCAAAAGCCATATCCAGTCCATAAAGAATATTGTCACAGGTGGATTGCTACTTAAAAAAACAAACTGTAAACTGCTTTATATTTCATGGGAATCAGATTTCCGCTAATCAGTGAAAATGATGAAATTTTGTATCAGTGCGAAATTCACTGGGGTCTGAATGGCAGCAATTTTTGGGAAATTCTGAATACCATTAATTAATTATCTATTTGTGAAAGCTGAACATCTGTGTTTTCGTTCATAAATTTGGAAGTTCTTAAATCTCAAACATCAAGCATATGAGATTTTGATATGACTAATAACCATCAGAATCAGAATCATCATCCTGTGATCTGATTATCTTCTTTGGTTTGTTTTTCATGAATGGCTTGGACTGACTATCAGACAGTGGTGGATCCATGAGGTTACCAGAGTAGTTAATTACGCTAGCACATCCCAGTCGCCACTCTAACATCTCAGTTGGGAAATCATCTGTGGCACCCAAGTCATCAAATCTGAATAAAAAAAAAAGACACATAATGGGTTATATCAACTATGTCTCCATTTTTGCAACAACACCACAATTGCAGTTATGTCTACAGACAGCTGTGAGTAACAGACATCTGTACTGCCACAGTGTATACTTTTCAGTATTTCCTCATAATAACCTTATTATTAAACATCATATAGTGTGAGACAACAGCCACACATGTTGCCACGCATTTTTCAAATAAGAAAAAAAAATCACATTTCTGAACATTTACTGGTATTTTTTCAAAATATTTAAGTTAAAATCTGTTTTACACCAAAAATATGACAAATAATTAGAAATGTTCCATGATGCTAGTCGCCATCAGGGTGGGTGTTATTAACATTCGGTCATTGGCTCTCTCACTCACTCACTCACTCACTCAACACTGCTCCTGATCCAGCAAAATTACAGCACATCAATTTGATGCACACTGTTTTGAACTATTAATAACCAGAAACTCAATTTATCTGTTAATAAAACTACTACATGTTATTTAGTTTAATTCTCATGTACAGGGAACTGAATTATGTCCCAAGAATGAACTTTATTGTGCATAGTGGAATGATCTGAAACCATGGCAGTGTTTGAATGGACAACCAGATGTAAATAACACCCACTTTGCCAATTGCCTTAGAGACAAGGCTAAGGCCAGACTTTTATTATCCCTTGTTTCGCGAACCCGCCGAATGAACAGAAGCCGAAAATGAAATAAAAATATAATTTTATTTCAGCGTAATTGTTGTAAGCGCAAAAAAATGCTAAAAAAATATTATTTTTATCTTCATTTTTGTTACCGCCTGCCGCATAACAAATCCAAGTTGCATTTTCGTGGGAGTATCATGATCAAAGTACCGAAGTCTCACGCACATGAGAAACAAGGTTATACATAGAATAAAATTTTATTTCATTTCTTCTCTCCGATAAATGATCTCACTTACAATTCTTTGAGAATCACACAAATCTAATAGAAAAAAATTAATTTTATTTTTTTTCCACCCTCCTCAAAAAAATTGCCTTTTAAAAACTCGCGAAACAAGGAATAAAAAAAGTCTGGCCTAATGCATATGGATTTTCATAGATTACTAATAATGTATAATGATTATTATTCTCATGTCATTAGAGAGATTAATAATGCATGATACATGTTACATCAGTAATGTATGGTAATCATATGATAGTGACTCAAGGGTTGACACTAGTTATTGAGAAAATTTCAACAATGACACTGATTGGCTCTGCGAAAAAGGTTTGAGACTGACTTTTTTAGCTCAGCACCTTACCAAAGAACTGTGGGAATATCTGTATTGTAGGGTAAATGAACGACTGGAAGTGGCCAACCCTTATGTTTTGGTTGTTCAACAAAACATGCAGTTCTCAGCTTTATGAAAATGCATATATTGTTATAGATACATGTTTAGGTTGATACAGTAAATTCTCAAATTAAATATATTATATTTTGAAGTCATTCACAGTCATTCAATCTATTTAACTGAGGAAACAAATTAATAAAATTATTGATTTGGACACAAGTCACCAATTTGTGTGTTTTTTAACCCAGTACAAAATATTTTTCTCAAGCAAGACTGCCTGAAAAAATGGAACTTTCGTTATTTTTTCCATAGGAATCTATGTTAAAGCATTCTTTAAAAAAACATGTAATAATTAATCATGAAAATTTGCTATTAATTTGTGAAAACTATAACTTTAATATACGATGATGATGAGACATTTTAACTATAGGAACGAATGGTTAATAGCTTTAATTGCTACTGGGTATTTTCACAGATGTGTTTTTCATTCTCTTTTTGTGGGACCATATTTTTTTCATTTTGAGTTTTATGACCAACAGGATAAAATTGAACAGTAGTACTGAATTCAAGGAAATCTGTTGATCTGTTATGAAAGTAGCCAACTACCTAAAACACTAAAATGGCATTATGATAGTCATAGATACGAAATTTTAGTGAACTTACCCAACAATATAGTCAGTAGTTTTAGCATCTTTGATAAGAGCTAATGTAGGAATCACTTTAATTCTAAGTCTCTCTGCTAAGAAAGGACACTTCTCAGCATTGATCTTTAAAAACCTTGTTTCAACATGTTTTGGTGCCAGAATACCCATATGCTTGTCGATAATTTTACATCGGAATGTGCTGTCTCTGTAAAAATGGCAGACAACATGTTTACTCTTTTTGCACTCTGCAAAGAATTCTTTCTCCCCCTGCAGCTCTGAATACTGTCCATGTCCAATTTGCAGCCACTCTTGCTTCTGATCGTGAGCTTTCTTCATGGCTTCCATGCGCCGCTTCCTCAGTATTTCTAGTTCATCATCGTCTATGGTATCTAATCTACCGATCTCGGCATCAACCTGGCTTTCAATCATCTCTGTAGCTTTCAAAAGCTGTTGTTCTACCATTTGTTGGTTTATACCCGCCATCTTGATAACCTAAAAATGAATTAATAACTTTGTAAAATATGTCATAATGCAAACATTTTCCTATCAAATGTCCAAGCAAGTATGTTTAACAGAACTTTGAGAATTGGCTAGATAATTTCCGTATAATTTCTGTATAGTACTAATTCTCACAAGTTCTGGACCAGAATGTCAATTTCACGGTTGCTATGGTCACGCGGGTCACTGGTATTACTATTATTTGAAATAAACAAATCAACATGATCACTAATTCATGAAACGTGTTTTATAATCGAAATTTCAGGTCCAACAATCGCCATTGTTTTGATAATCTTGTAAGTGAATTTCTTACTAAGAGAAAGATCCAAGTGAACGCAGACGAACAAGTAGCAACTCGAAACCGTGCCGAGTTTTTCTCTGACACAGCGAAATTTTCAAGTTGTAGGGAGTACGCGACAAATGTCGAGTAAGACATATATTTACATATTCAACTATGCATGAGCGATATAGCAAACTTTGGCGCTTATGAGCACTTACCTGGAAATGACCGTTCGATTCAACTAGAGTATACACTGGGAAAAAACTCGAACAAAAATATTCAACCGGTATGCATTGGGATCGGTGTACCCTAAAGTTGATTGCTTTCTCAAAATGGCGGTATGTTTTTTGTTGTTGCATGAAACACGCTTTTTGATTGGTCAACACCAACACATTGGCCAATCACAGGCAAGTTTTGAGAAGGAAAGATTTAAATAACTGGTCAGAGGTCAAATATACTCACATGATGGTGTTCACGTGATTGGTTGATAGAGTGTGCTTTTTGAGCGAAGAAAATACTTTCTCCCAAAATGTATAAATTTGTAATATTGAGTCTGTGCGTAGTTCATAGTTTTTTGCCACAAAATATTGCTCTGGCGTCTGAGTCAGGTATGTAAAAACACTTGCTGCTCACGTTATTTTCATGTTATAAACAGAAAGTTCTGAACACGCTTCTAACAACAACACAGTGGTGCACAGTGATTCATAAAAATATATTTCGGATTTGAAAATTGAAGATTAAAAAGATGCCGTTAAGTCGAAGCATATATATATATATATATATATATATATATATATATATATATATATATATATATATATATATATACAATGGAGAATTTGTCAAAAAACAAAACAAAAACCATATTTCAACAAACAAGCTGCTCTCTGATTGGTCCGACTGTTAGATGTTAGCTTTGGGTGGCCAATCAGGCACAATCTAGTATCTTTGCAAGAGGTGGTCAATTAGACATTGGTGTATTGGCATAGGTTCAAGGTTATATATATACCATTATCTTAAATTCAACAACACATTAAATTGTTTTGCACAATCTTAAAGCGAGAGGGTCGTCACCTGCGCATGTGGGAATTGAGTCCCAAGCGACGATAACAACACACGCTAAAACACAAAGGCTCATGGGTAGATGCTTGTTTGTAAACAATGACATGCTATGGCCATCTGACGCATGCGTAGGTGACGACACCCCTGCTTCAAGTATAAAATCATTAGGGATCCCTCTGGTGCACATGACTCCAGACAACCACTGTCTGTGGTCATGAATTTCTTTTGCACACCTAATAAGTAATATCGTTAGCTAATTGGCTGACAATACAGCAGCATTGCAAGCAATGTTGCATTCAAGAAGTCAGTAGATCATTATTAAATTTAGGAGTATCATTGCTTGCAACACAGCCTACTTGCTGCACATAGCTGGTTAGATGTAAGAAACAAATTCATGCTATCATTCATTAGCATAATTTTTCAGTTGAGTTGAAACATATACACAAGTCAGAGTTTACACAATACACATACACAAGGCAGAGTTTTATACATAGAAAAAGTCTATCTACAAATTCCTGCTCTCTGATTGATCTGACTCTTTGGTTATACCAGGTATTGGGGTTGGCTAGCCACTCAGGCCTAATGTTGTAAACAGTTTTGCTTTGACTATGTTACTACCGTATCTACTATTTTCTGTCATTTTATCATGTTTAATTTGATATTATTTTCAGATAAACGCATGAATGTTCTGTTTGTCGTTTTTGATGATTTGAGACCTACAGTTGGTTGCTATGGCGGTGAATATCCATATATTACACCTAATATTGACCAATTGGCTTCATTCTCTGTTAGATTTAACAAAGCCTATGTACAGGTGAGAATAAATTCAACGTTAACTTTTTGAACACCATAGTTTGTATTTTTTTATAATTTCTTTCTTAAATTACTATAACCACCATATTGTTCCGAACATCAAAATGGCAAAGTTAATTACCATCTAAGTTGCTGACTGGTTTGCTATGCTGATCCTGAGATCGTTATTGTAAAGGTATGGTTAATCAATCATGTTGAACAGCATAAAAACATTCCCTATGCTTTTTTTAAACCACACTTTATTATATAATCAAGAATGTCATCAAGACATTCCGTGTTGTATATTTTACATCCATCCATCTATTTATACCTGTATCTTAGACAAATGTCGCAACAACTGCTCACAGATTCATTTTATGATCTGATTCATGATGACTGTTCACTATGCATATTACTAAAATACAAAAATTAAGCATTTCTCCAATTGTGGAACCATATCTAAGTTGTGATTATATTTTCGTAAAACTTGGTACATATGATCCTTATTTGGGCTCTAGATAAAAATACAATAAAGTTTGAGCAAACATAACAAAATCGTTTTGTACCAATCTGATTAACATTGGTTTTAAGTATAATAGGCTCCATTTTGTTTAGTATTGCTGAAACATGATTGGCTATAGCTACAGTTTTATTGCTTGATTATTTCAATTTGCCATTAGCAAGCAGTATGTGGACCAAGTAGGACATCTTTTTTAACTGGTAGACGCCCTGACACGACTAAACTCTACGACTTTGGTTCATATTGGAGAGATTTCGCTGGAAACTTCACTACCATTCCGCAACATTTCAAAGACAATGGTTACTTTGTGGCATCCATGGGAAAGGTTATGCATCCAGGTATTAGTTTTCTTCTATATTACTATTAACTTTTTTCACCACCAGTTCACTCATTTCATCACAAATTCACAAAATAGTCCTGTTAATAGTCTGCACATTCCTTCAGAAGATTAGGACAAAAATAGCCCAAATCTTTTGAGAAAAACTGAAAATTGACTCAAGCTTTGTTTGTTTACTTCATATGAGGGTTCATTTCCAGAAATATTGAAGAATATTAGGAAAAAAGTGCAGAAATATTTGGGCTAGAAAGTCTTGTGGTGAAATGGTTAATTAATTTCGAGATCCAAGCAAAAAATGTGACTTAAATTATTGTCTTTCATGACAGACTAAATAACTTTCACTTAGACCTGCTGCTGAGTTGAGAATTTGAGACCAGAGTGATAGATTCAACTCATTGTAGTGAGTTTCATAGAGCTATATCAAAGCAGTACAGGCCAAGAAACTTGTAAAGACACGAATTACACCTCGAGCTTAGCCTTTTGTTTCCAAGTAATTGACATTGCAATGCACGGCTGTTGATGCTGATGACATCATCATGGTTTGAAAAACACTGCCACCGATTGTCTCATACCAATTAACAGCTAATTAAAATCATGAAGCAACAAAACATTAGCTATTTTCATTTAAAGCTGCCTCTAGAAGGGGTCACTGTATTTGAAAATTTAAACAGTTTAAAGGTGCATGTCATCTATTGTGCAGCACGTGTTTGAATTGTACGTAAAAAAGTGTATTTTACATGTGTTGTCTACATCACATGAGACCGACACAGCATGATATACATTCCTGTATATTTGCTTGGTCTAAGTGTATCAGACCATGTCAACTTTCCTTCATAAAATGAACTCAAAGATCATAAAAACAAATACAGTGTGTTTAGGAGGTCATTGATCATTAAAACAGGTACACGGGAAACATAACTTATTTGTGACTTGTGCTGACCCCCCCTCAACTTCTTTAATGCAAAATTTTGAAAAGTGCGGCCCCCTATAGTTCAGTTCTTTATTTACGTACATTTCCACATTGTAAGTTGTATGTTTTTCACAGCCTGTATATACACTCCTGATAAAATATTTGTCAATGTTTAGTTTGCTTCTCCATTTCCAAATTTAATACTAGTATTAAAAAACAGTTATCAGAAAGGGTTTCACATACTGCAGATGCTTCACCGTAATTACTCACTGGGTTTTAATTACACTATTTTTATTGATAGGTAAAATCCGCTAAATTAAAACCAAAGGAACATGTACAATAACACAGAATTGATTGTTCCACTGGGAAATTAACTTGTATATGATCAAAAATACAAAATATTGTGAAATACAATGCCAGTGAAAATAATTGGTTTTTTAGTACTAATTTCTAATTGTCAGTATATCTTCATCTCATCCAGGTATAGCCTCCAATAACACAGATGACTATCCGTATAGTTGGTCTCAACCACCATACCATCCATCATCTCAAAAATACCATTGGACACCAGTAAGTTAAATGAACTTACTAAGTATTGATATGCAATCTCTCGCTTCCTTCCACATACAGAAAACATTTCTGAAAAGAATTCCATAATTATTATTGTACTTATTACTGTAAATATGACAATATTGTGGCTGATGTTTAAAGCATGCAGCACTTCTTGTATTTTGTGAAAAGTAACAATGTATTTCTACACGTTTTGTACATCATATGAGACCCAAATCTAGTCTATCACTCTTAGAACAAGGTTTAGGGTGTCCCTAACCCCCTTGGTTATTATAACCAATATTTCATCGCTGGAGTTATTTTTATTGCAAATTTTGCAAATAACCTATATAATAGCTGGACATAATTAATGTTATTATCAAAAAATTATAAATTGGTCAGTTTTGGCCTCAATATTTTTTTTGCTTGGAAATGCAAGGGTGATAAGACTTGATTTTCATGGATGCAGGTCGTTTTGATTAGAGGGTTTCTTTTGTTTCGAGTCAGTTGTGTTTCTAGAAACTTAGCAAATTTGTTTTTTGGTGAATATAGAACATGCTCTGTTCCAATAAACGTTTTTGACTTTGGAATGTCTGTCGTGTAAATAGTCCTTGACAATGGTACTAGACCAGAATGGACTTCCTGTTCAGCGCGTCTTTGATTGTAGCAATATTCATGTCACTGTATGTAAAGATGCACACTCATGAACTTGACAACATTCACATGAACGTTTTGCTTGTTTTATTAAAATATTTATACATTTACCTTATCATTGTATCATAATTTGAAGGAATTAATTGTTACCAAAATCCTAGAAATTGCAGATTTTATTTACCCAATTTGTTGCGTTTGTGCACAACATTTAATATTTGCTTGTAAAATTGAAAAATATTCTTAGACTACAATTTTCATTTGAGAATGTTTAACAGTTACATTGTGCATTTTCAAATTTATGTGAATGAAATAATACTTTCTACCCCATCACAAGTATCCATGGTATGACAACCACCATCATTATAGTTTAATCAATTTTTATCTATTAACCTGTTTTGTTTTCAGTCCTGTCCAGGTCCTGGTGGAAATCATTATCGTAATCTTGTGTGTCCATTGGATGTTAAAAGTCAACCTGGAGGGACACTTCCAGACATCCAGACAACAGAATATGCTATTGAACTGCTCACAAACATATCTAAAAAACAACAATCATCTAACACGACACAGCCATTTTTTGTTGCGGTTGGTTTTCACAAACCTCACATATCGTACAGATATCCAGAGGAATTCCAGAAGCTTTATCCACTATCTACAATCAAGTTAGCTGCCAATCCTGATCTTCCTCCCAAGATGCCCCATGTTGCTTGGGAAACCATGATGATGATCCGTAAACGAGATGATGTGAAGGCTCTGAATATGAGTTATCCATTTGGTAGAGTACCGGATGATTTTCAGGTACTTGATTATTTGTAAATCTACAGCAATTTATTTTTGTCATTATAAATAACTTGTATCTGGTAAGTTTGATACATATATGAATATATAAGGCTTCTGGCTTCTCCTGAGCCCTGCAGACAGAGCAGGGCATGTGATAGTAGAAATTTACTTTGATTATGGTAGACCAGTACTGCAATCATCAAACAAGTAACATCTTGTTGGCAGGCCAAACTGGTGGTGTCTGGCGCTGTTGAAATATGTTGCATATTCATTCAAATGTGGGAATTGTCAAAAGGTGATGCATGTATTTAATAGATAGTGAAAATGAGTTCTATAATTTCTTAGCTGTTGTACATATTTACTCTATTGAAAGTACATGTGTTTATTTAAATGACAACGGTGGGTCTATGATCAAAGTAAGACGCACTTCAATGATTAATCATACATGCACCTCACTTGGGATTCAAGTTTCAAAGACACACTCGCGACAACACCTCTCCTTTGACGAGCACAAAGAGAACTTTCAAAAATTTAATGGGGACTGTGTCATTTTCAATGACTTGTGTTTAAATGCACATCTGTCAAGATGCACTTGAATAGGACAAATACTGTATTATCAGGCATCCACTATGCTGACTATTGAACACCTTCCTAATACGTCTTGAATTTGTTTGTATCTTCAGTTGAAAATCCGACAGAGTTACTATGCATCCACTACCTATGTAGACAGTGAAATGGGAAAAGTATTGGCTCACCTCGACAAACTAGGATATGCCGATGATACTATCATTGTAGCATTTGGTGATCACGGTATGTAGATGTTATAAGCATATAGATTGATAAATACTGTAAAATACTTTAGCTACATGCCATCTTAACAAATTTTAGCAGTACACAAATTGGCAGAATCTTAATTTAGCTAAAATTCCAATAATCACAGTGTGAGAATAGTCTTTATTTTCAAATTAGCCACATCTTGACATACAGATAGCTAAATTAGCTAAAAAAAACATGTTAGCTAAAAGGATAGATGTAACTTGTTGTAAGGATGTCACTACCGCCAAACCACTGGTTCACTTCGCATCAATACTATCTATTCCTACCTCATACCTGTGCTTGAAATAGAGCAAATTAATTCCCTCAAAAAAACACCTACTGTGATAATAAGAGTCAAACCAGTGTCTATGTCGCTTAAAAATCACCAGTGCATGAGAGGCATTCCAGCTTTTGGTTATAGGATTACGGTAGCTCTCTGCCACACAGAATTCATCTGTGCTGTACCAGTGCAGCTAGCCACACCAAGCTGCACTGATTTATAATTATATTCCTGCACTGATTTTCTGTGCAGTATCACTGCTGTTGCCGTGCCGCATCCATGCTGTAACTATACCGCATAGCTTCCATTTTCATAAGGGTACGGGAGTCATATAAGTTTCTGCCAAATCGGTTTTAATTTTTGTACAAATTTAAAAAAAAAAAATTCAAACCAAAATATCTATATCTGTTTGAAGAACACTGCAGCAATCATCAAAACAATATGCCGATTTGACTTCACTTGTAATGATGGAATTTGGTTATAGTTTCTGTGACTCGCTGTTTCAACTCTTATCCTACCCAGCCCCATGTACTTTTACATTGACTTGATAAGGGTTAAATATCCTTACAACTTGTCATAGACTTGAGAAATTTGCAGAAATTTGTCTCTCGAAATAAAGCTATATACAGTAGTTGTTTTGACCTTTTATGTTGACCTTTATGTTGCAGGTTGGTCTCTTGGTGAACACCAGGAATTTGAGAAGTATCAGAATTTCGAAACAACCACCAGGGTGCCATTGGTTGTATACGTACCTGGACTTACAGACAAGGGGACGAAACCAATGCCACCAGGAAAAAAGTTTCCATTCTTGAATCCATTGACAAACTCTGAGAAACTCAATATAGTTCCTACAAAGCCAAGACCGTATAACCAAGAAACTGATTATGTGCATCCACAGAAATCTGGTTTTCAGAGTAATGACTTTGTTGAATTGGTCGATTTGTTTCCTACCTTATCCGAGTTAGCCGGTTTAAAAGTTCCCAGCACTTGCCCAGAAATGCCGTTTAAAGTTGATTTCTGTACGGAGGGGTCAAGTTTTGTTCCAGTTCTTGAAAATGTAGCAAAAGGAAAATATGGCATGCGGTTTATGTGGAAGAATGCCACTTTCAGTCAGTATCCAAGACCTTCTGATGAACCACGGCCAGATTCTGATTTGCCCAATTTAGCCGATATATGCATTATGGGGTACACTATGCGAACACACAAATATCGTTACACAGAATGGGTCGGTTTTGATCCTGTTGAGTTCAAGGCTGACTGGTTTGAAGTTCATGCCAGAGAGCTCTATATTTTAGAAACTGACTCTTTAGAGGACAACAATGTAGCCGGGGAAATCGAGTACATTGCACTTGTCGAAGAGCTTTCAGAAAAATTGAAACTTGGTTGGAGAAGTGCATTACCAAGTTTAAAGAAATAAGACATTTTTACATTAGATGGCAAAATGAAGTATTTATGCCTGTTTCTGATAAATAACTCGCAGAAATTTATTTCTCTGAAAATAATAGTTTTGATATACCGGGACATCGTGGTATATATTTTTTTACTCAAGGTTTTCCACAGTTCTACCTTCTGTGGTTGAAGTTCCTCAGCCAACGTTTTTAATAGCTGAGCTCTTTCTCTGCATTGAATAAAGCTGCAAAGTCTGAACTACAGTAGCAGTATTATAAAATTGTGTAGCCAAGACAGTGCCAGTTTACAAGTGATGTACAGTTTTCTGTAGCAATTACACTTTGTATGTGAATACAACTGTAGCAGTTACACTTTGCATATGAATACAACTGTAGCAGTTACACTTTGCATGTGAATACAAGTGTAGCAGTTACACTTTGCATATGAATACAATTGTAGCAGTTACACTTTGTATGTGAATACAACTGTAGCAGTTACACTTTGTATGTGAATACAACTGTAGCAGTTACACTTTGTATGTGAATACATCTGTAGCAGTTACACTTTGTATGTGAATACAACTGTAGCAATTACACTTTGTATGTGAATACAACTGTAGCAGTTACACTTTGTATGTGAATACAACTGTAGCAGTTACACTTTGTATGTGAATACAACTGTAGCAGTTACACTTTGCATGTGAATACAACTGTAGCAGTTACACTTTGTATGTGAATACAACTGTAGCAGTTACACTTTGTATGTGAATACAACTGTAGCAGTTACACTTTGCATATGAATACAACTGTAGCAGTTACACTTTGTATGTGAATACAACTATAGCAGTTACACTTTGTATGTGAATACAACTGTAGCAGTTACACTTTGTATGTGAATACAACTGTAGCAGTTGCACTTTGTATGTGAATGCAACTGTAGCAGTTACACTTTGTATGTGAATGCAACTGTAGTGATTACACTTTGCATGTGAATACAACTGTAGCAGTTACACTTTGTATGTGAATACAACTGTAGCAATTACACTTTGCATGTGAATACAACTGTAGCAGTTACACTTTGTATGTGAATACAACTGTAGCAGTTACACTTTGTATGTGAATGCAACTGTAGCGATTACACTTTGCATGTGAATACAACTGTAGCAGTTACACTTTGCATGTGAATACAACTGTAGCAATTACACTTTGCATATGAATACAACTGTAGCAATTACACTTTGCATATCAATACAACTGGAGCAATTACACTTTGTATATGAATACAAGTTTTCAATTAGTGCAAAGAAAAAGACAGGTATGGATTTACAGAATGAAATCTGAATCCATAGCAATGAATCAAATGACCAAAATGTGAATGTTGATCCCATCGATATTTCAATGACCACTTGTACGATTTACATGAAACTAAGTAGATTGATGCCCTGCTACAATACACAGGCCTGAATAGGATGAAATCAATGCATATAATTACCAAATTTACATAATAATTTGTCAATCTTCAGCCTTTCTACTTGTATATAAAACACTCATCAGATTTCAATGAAATTTTATACATAGGTTCTTTGGGATAGATGTTTAGTTTTGGGCTGAATTTTGTGCTTACTAATTACATAATTTGCATAAATAAACCATTGCAAGTTACAGGTGTTCCAGATACTTGCATAACATTTGGGTTAAGGATATATGTAAAAGCAGTTCAGCATCCCCATGGCTACTATTTTTTTTATCATAAAGGTACTGTTGCAGTAAAAAGTAAATGTGGGAAACCTTTACAGTTGTACCATCTTTATCTGGTTGTATATATTTTACATGCAATTTTGGATGTTACACCATGAATGACCCCCAAATTAATAATATTTAGTTAATAAATGTTTTAATTATAATTCGAGTTTGACATGTGATGAAGATCTCAAACGAATTGAAGAATCAAGCGAATTGCAAGACAATGAAAACTATGACATAAAAAGTGTATGTACTATATGTTGCTTCATAATAATCAGGCTGAGATGAAGTCTGCAAACACACCTCAAGTGTGCACTAAAGACACAAGAAACATCTTTTCACAGATTAATGTATATTTTGTTTCATTAAATCGACCATGTAATTATGCTGTATACGTGTCGTTTGTGTATTGTTTGTCCGTTGTTATTTGCGGTCATAGAGATCTCGTGCAAAGAATTTGTTTGTGTTCACCTTTGATTGTGTTTATGTGTATTACGTATTGAAGTCCGGCGGAAGTCCATTGGTTAGAAATTAGTATGACACACGCGGAATAAGATCTTTACCACAGCAAATATCAGTCCAAGAGAATATTTGAGACACGTTTTTAGTTTTGATTTGTATGCATTTATGTCTGTAATAGTATACATTGATGTGTGACATTACTTGCATCTGAACCGTATTATTTCATAGACTATAATAGCTTCATAAGCCAACGTTTTATCATAGCAACGTTAAAAGCATTCAATTTTGTTAATGATTTTATTAATTGGGTATCAGTATTTTACAAAAATATTACGTCTTGTGTTATGAACCATGGTAGGTCAACTGGCTACTTCCCAGTGGCTAGAGGGGTTTGCCAAGGTGACCCCTTATTACCTTATTTATTTGTCACTGTTATTGAATTGTTAGCAATAGCAATTAGAGAAAACCCAACTATAGAAGGTATCTCTTTTTTAAAGAAGACATTTAATCTTGTAATGTACGCAGAGGATATATCATGTTTAGTTCACCCATCCTCAATACAAAGTACTTTTTTTCATGGTCAATAATTTTGGTAAATGCTCTGGGTTAAGGTTAAATAGGGACAAAACAAAAGCACTTTTGATGGGTAATGGCCACAAACAGAAAGATAAAAATGATATTAAAATGTCAGATGGGTTAAGGATTCTGGGTATTTTTATAACTTATAATGAGAAGCTATTCACTTCTGAGAATTTTAATTTAATATTGACAAAATTAAAACAGTCATGTGGCTTGTGGTCTCTAAGGGGGTTATCAGTTATTGGCAAAATTAAGAATTTAAAAACACTTGGTATTCCAAAATTTGTGAATTTTTCGACAATGATCTCAATCCCGAAAGCAAATATAAATGCATTTAATTGTATTTGGAAAGGTTGTGACCGGGTTGTAAGAACCTCTTTAATTGTGGGTATAGAGGATGGAGGCCTGAACATGATAGAAATTGAATTTTTTCTAATAGCACAAAGAATGAAATGGGTTCTACGATTGTTTTCGTCAGACCCAGCTGGTTGGAGAAACAGAACCACTACTAAATATTAAAGGGGGTAGACATGTATTATCTTGTAATTTTGATGTAGAAAGTTTGGTAGATAATTTACCACCATTTTATGTTGACATTACTAGAGAATGGTCAGATTTAACGCTCCATTCCCCCAATTCTGTGTATGGAATTGACAATCAAGCGTTGTGGAACAACTGCTTTATTAAAATTGCAAACAAACCAGTTTATTTTAAATCTCTGGCAA